GGGGCCGGGGCTGGTCGTATCTCGAAAATTTCATAAGTAGGGGCGTTCGTAAGTAGAGGCGAGGTTGGGAGGAGAGGGAAATTTTTGGGGCCGGGGCTGGTCGTATCTCGAAAATTTCATAAGTAGGGGCGTTCGTAAGTAGAGGTACCACTGTATTTGGAACGTAAGGTTCAACATCAGTCAGATTGAACCAAATGAGGATTGTGATGACGGAACGCTTCACAAATTAGAGTTGGATGACCTGATGTATCAGACTATAAAATATTAGACCAATATGAGATAGGTTGTCTCTTATTTAAATGATTGTTTGAAAGATCTAATCATAGAGATGGGTAAAGAGCACTGGAGAATTATGATCCGTAAATCTGATGTACCCATTCCAAAGGTCGACTGAGGGTACACAATGTCTCCACTCCATGCTATTTAGTGTTCAATCATCGTAACTGGTAACTCAGTATAATAATTATATTGTCATGAGAAAAGCTGTTCATAATATGTATTTGTTTAGCCCAAGATAAATTGTATCAGATTTACTAACAAACTAATCAAGTGATTAAATGTTCTCTCTTAACCTTAAAATATAAAAACAGAACTATTCATTCTGTTAAGCATATCTTTTCATTGGACCTACCTGTTTTGTTAAAAATGCAAACAGGAGTGGCAGACGAGAAATGGCTTAAACTGTCCTATTTAACTTCTGATATTTTGTTAATTATCACCCCATGTTTACAGCTGCTATTTGCATTGCAAAAAAGAAAGTAATAATTGTCAATAATTTGCCTTTGTTAGTGATAACATTATTTTTTGCTACTATATATTTTTTTAAATGCTAATGTTTATTAATATTGACTGTGAAAATAGTAGTCATGCATTTTTTTCATGCTCAAATCTCAGTAGTTTCTTCTCCAGGATTTATTATGACCCCTTTGCACCTTAAGAAATTGTATCTATAGGCTGTCTTTTATCCATTATTCTCAGCTCTTTAAAAAAAAAATAGATGGAATGGAAGTTCCATGCATTACTGGTATTACAGTAGTAGTATTCTGTGAAAGCTTGCGTTACAACAGATGGAGAAAATGATTCAGCTGTCCTGCTCCACAAGACTTTGAGCTCTTCTTTGCTACTGGGAAATTAAAAGTTGGCGAATCAGCCCTTTATTTTTATCCATCTGTTCAAATGAAAGAGATATCTTATTTGTAGGTGTCCCCTTGAATTAGTCAATGTATGTATAGTGATAGCATTCTTCCCTTTACCATGTTAATTGCTGTTAAGGATAATCTTATTTTATACAGAATTAGCTTGCTTTTAATATAGGTGGGAGTTTCTAGGACAGATTTTTTTTGTTAAGAGAATTTGGAATACTATCCATTCAAGTATTTATAGAATTTCTTCTAATTGAAATGTCAAAATTCTTACAAGTTCTTGGTTATAATGTCTACTGTTGTCTCTTTTTCCACATAGTTAACTGCCCTGTTCCCTCAGGTATTATTTTGGCATAATAATTAGGTTAATCTTACTATTTTTTCCCTCAACCTTCAGGGAAACTAGAAGAGTTCCTTTATTTTTGTTTTTTATATGTTAAGCTATCTGAACCTATTGGTGAAATCCAGCATTACTCCATTAGATGACTTTTCCTTCTCCCCTACTGCAAACTCTAACTATCTATACATCCCAAACTATACTAGTCAGCCTTGGTAGATTCTGCAGAACAGATATGAAAACTCATAGGGGTCCACTGGCAGGAACGGGGCAATTGGATTTCATCATTATTTTAAAACATAAATTCTGAGGTTATGTTTAAAGAAGTAATAAGCTTGCCCAAGTATAACATAATCATTCTTAGGTTGAAAAGAGAATTATGTCTGTGCAACAGGTTATGCTAATTTTGCAAAATTAGGAATACATTTCAAGGAAAGCTTATTGTTGATTGATTGTTTTTATTAAGCTAAGAGGTCATAGAGAAAGAAGAAATCAGTTATGAGAAAAGGCAGCATTCTTTTTCATGTACAACTTAATTTTCCTTTGCTGTTGTTAACTCTCCATATTATATGATGTGTAAGTTTTCCTTCCTAAAGAAGCCAGCCAAATGAGTACAGGTAGTCCCCAGATCAAGAACGCCCAGTTTATGGACAACCCATAGTTGAGAACAGAGCCTATTGTAGTAAAATCTGAATTAAATACACAATGATTCGAGTTAAATACACAATGTTTTGAGTTAATTACACAATACTACTTATACAGTATTATACAATCATACTGTTCCAGCTTACATACAAATTCAACTTAAGGACAGACGTTTGGAATGGAACTTGTTCTTAAACTGGGGACTACCAGTACAACAATTGAATATACTATACGCACAAGGGAAAGGCAGGGATGACTTTGAAAATGTCCCTGATTTGAAGTTCTCTTCTTCTTCTCTCCAGTATGTAACAAAAACTATACTATGATTTGTGGCTTTCCTTGCTCCCTCCAGCAGCAGCCAATGGCCTGGACTTCTAGTGGAAAAGTTCACGTGGTTATGACAAGCGTGAGAAGTAACCTGTATTAGGCTTGTCTAGAATTTTTTTATATGTTTCAACAAACATAGTGTGTTAGTGCATGCTGCTTCACAAAGGAAGAACAGAATAAATTCTAAAAATTAAACGTCTTCAGTGCCTTATGTTTCTTATATGTTTTCTGGCATGTCAGGGCTCACTTGCTTTATACCTCTGACTGTTAATAGAATAGGTTAATTAATGCATAATGGATCTTTAGCAGTAATGCTGAAGAATTGTTAAGAATGTCTAGTTACGTATTATAAAGACAAATTTCAGGAATGGGTAACAGTGGCAATGCTGAGGAGTCTTTTCCGTACTAGTGACTATATTTTAGTTTTGATCTGCTCTCAACTTCCTCTAATTTCACACGTGGATGTTTTCTAATTTATATGCTTCAATGCATACACACCTAGTTCTGTGCATGGTGTTTTTAACGTATATTTCTGCACATAAAGTCTAGTTTCTCATATTATATGATAGCATTTAGAAGTACTTGGCTACAATTGCTTGTTTGTCAACATGACAGTGTATGTTTTCAAATGGCTTTCCTTTTAATAAACCATGGGCTGCAACAACATCTTGTTTTTCATTTGCAATGCTGATTACCCATTCTCAAACCCCATTTCTTTCTCACACATAATTTATAGTTGCCATCCATACACTTACAGCTCACGTAATCTGATCGTCGCCTCCCTGCTATTGTATTCTTCCTTTGCACACTTTCTTCCCAATATCTCACTTTCTCTTCTTCAGACCTTTCTTCAACCTTTTTGTAGGTGCTATTGATAATTCCTCAGTGGTCTACATCAGGAGAGTAGTATCAGCTCTAAGATACTTGTATGGTCCCTGTGAGTTGAACTCACTACCTAGTTAAGGATTTTAAACATTTTAATTTAGGATTGTTCATAGGCTACTTCCTTTAACTAAAATCCCTTTTCATGGAAGTACAAATAGCCTTTAAGCCAGCTGCAGGTTTATTCAGTCATATGCAACAAGACAGAAGCTGTGAGGGAATTCTCTCTTTGATATGTAGTGAATCATTCTGGACCAGGCCAACAGTTCTGTCATCTCGGAGTGAATGGTTCTATTTCTCATGCAGTTCCTGTTCTGACCTAATGGAGTCCTCAGCTTAATGTTGGAAGTCCTCTGCAAACTAGCAACGCAAACCTGCAGCAAGAGCTATTTGTTCTGGATCTGCACATGAGGAAGACAGGAAAAAATGTGCCAGAAAGAGAATTCAAGGAGATTTCAGAAAGCCAGCAATAATAGGTTGCCTCACTCAGTTTTGGCTCCAGCTTGGCCTGCTTTTTTGTTCAGCTCCACCCAGATTTTTGCCTCAGCTTTCTCCCAAGGCAGAGAAGTGGGCAGAGTATATGAGTGGGATTGAACCCAAATCCAAGAACAGTACTGTTTGACAGAGGATTGTCTATTTAAGGAGGATGCCAGAGAAAAGCTCTCATTGAGGTGGCAGCGCTGGCTTTTGAGAACTGTCACCACCCAGAAATGCTGCCATTTCTAAGCAACACAGTGGCTTCTCTAGCACAGGCAACTGCTATAGTTAACAACAGATTTTATTTTCCATAAAAAGTCACATTATTGCTAAGTTAAAGAGCAGTGATGGGTGGGAATCACAGGATATTTTCTTTTCTTTTTCTTTTTCTTTTTCTTTTTTTTGCAAATTGGTTCTGGAACAAGATGGAAAGACTTTTACAGATTGAATATGTAAATTTGTGGGGGCAGGGGGGACTAAAACCTGATACTGGTAGATTGTTTCATCTAGTCAGGGAGCTTCAACTCCTAAAGTTTAGGCTTTGAATCTTTATAAATTCAGTCATGTTTGAAAACTGGGCTGCTATCTCTTTGTTACATGGCAGGCTGATAAAATTTGGTTCTCTCCATGGTGGAGGGAACATTTTGAATGAGCCAGGCAAGTAGGTGAGAACTAAATTCAGTTCAGTTCTGAGTATAAACT